ATTTATATATGTTTTGGTAGATTCTATTTTACAATTTATATATTATATATAATTTATATAATACATAATTTCATAAATTATGTATGTGTTATATAAATTATAATGTTATATAATGTATGTTATGTATTATATATTTGGTAAAGCTGTAGAAAAAAGGAATGGTGAATATAAAAATCAGGGTAGTAGTTATCTTGTGTGGAAAGAAAGATTTGGCAACGAAAGTGTATACAAGAGGCTTTAATGAATTATTTCGTATCTTAAGTAAGTTAGTGCACGCATGGGTACATGTTATTTGTTGTTGTTGTTGTTGTTTTCATGTTTTAACAGCTCTGAAATCAGGATGGTCTTGTAATTGCTGAGAGCCGAGTAACAATTGTGATGTAGTTGTCTTTACCTTAGAAATTTTAGAAAAATTCTTAACCAATTTCTTTCACTCGTTTTCCTTTTTTATGTTCATAAAAGTGACATATAACAAAAACATAAATCTGAAAGATATCTTTTATTAAGTAAAATAAAATAAAAATCTAAACGGCAAAAAAAAAATCATGTTGTGTGTAACATAATCTACATTCTAGCTTGATGGTAACTTAAGGGTCTTAGTGGCTGAAGCATATTTCCCATGACTTGTTTCCTCATTACGGTCAATGTAGAATGTAAAGATGACTATTAGATTAGCAAACTCCGTGTCTCACACCTAGAAGGTACACACTAAATATTGTTGATTGGATTTTCAGTGACTGTTTATATTCAACTCAAATGATCCACTAACATTCTTCACCAAATCTGGCCTTTTTTAAAAAACCCAGCAACAATGATTGGAAAGACCACTTTGATAAATGCGTGAACTGATAAGACAGTCTGCATTTATGTGCTAGCGAGAAAAGGCTACCAGGAATCGTAAACTCAGGTTGGTCTCATCCTCTTCTAACTGTGGCTATGCCTAGTTGTACATGATAGTAATTAGCTCTGTTCTCAATATCCAAATCATAAAATCCTTAAGAAACTGTGGCTTGTTTTGTTATCACATATAATGCTATGGATATAGTTTGTTGTTTTATGGATATAATCTTGTTTTATTAATGGTTCTGTTTGTACAAGTGGCACACTGATCGCATCCTCAAAATATAGGGTTTTATATGACTTGGCTTTGCTTATATTGCCACAGGACCTTCAAATTGTACCCATGAATCTACTTTGAAACCATCTCTAATGTGTGGCCTGTGGTCCCTAGGTCAAGAGAGATTGAAAGTTGGAGAAACCGATTTATAAGAAAATCCCCAGTTTCCATGTTTACTGACCTTCGAGGTAAAAGTGTTAGTTGACTCGTAGTGGGCTCAGTAGCAGGCATACCTTGGAACTAGACCTCCAAGAGATATTCGGATTCTATATCTGATCAAACCTGGACTTCTCAGATTGATGGAGACTCTACATATCCTGGTCGTCACTTTCTTTGGAACTGTATATCTCAAATTATACAGTCAGCCATAATCCTGCAGTCTTTCTTATGGCCGACTTCCCTTCTCATTTGCTCATTTTCTCTTTTGTTGAAAGGGCTACTCCTTAGTTCACTTGCAATCTCTATTTTTCTATTGTTCACAGTACCAACATAGTGTTAAGCCCTTAATAACCCTGTATTGCATTATCATCCTAAACATTTGTAAGGTAAAGACTTTGAGTAGTATGCACTATCCCTAAGCCCTTCAGCACCACGAAACCGGGAGATTATTTAGAAGCAGGTATTCTATATTCTATTCAGTTCTAATATCTTTATTATCCCTAAACATGGACCAAAAATCCTGGGATTGCTGCATTTGCCATTTATTCTTGAGAAATGATAAATCCTGGGACATATTTTACTGCTTCAATTTATTACATATCAAAAGTTAAATCTCCCCAAGACAAATAATATAGATAAAAAGTTAATTGTGCATGCAGCTCATGTCAAAAATTATGCTTCAATTCATAGCTAAAAATAATTTTCTCAGTAAAGGAGACAATACTTAATTGTTATGTAAAATTTTAGAATGAAAAGTTCTTAAAGATTTAATTCATTCTAATTTAATAAGAATAGAATTAATTGCTTCTTTGGTTAATTTAAATATTAACAATAATCATCCTAATAGAGATTATTTAGAACAAAATGACAATGAAGAACAAGCTTTAATATCTTCTGGCTCTCTAAAGACCACAGTTGAAAGCATCGACTATTTAATCTTCTTATTTTTTGTGACATAATTTTCAAAATGAATATTTTAGATTAGTGATCCAATTTAAACCCTGTTAAAAAGCGAGGAAAGCATGTAATCAGAAATAATTTTTCTGCTATGTCTTATATTAAAGTCAAGCCCTTTCACAAATCTTTGAAAAGTATTTGGGAATCAGAGCATCACCATTTACAATTTTTTTTTTCTCTTCTTTATAGTGTATGCACACGATATGTCACTTTCTTTTCGACAGTTTCTGTAATAGAAAGTCTTCAATGTGTTTGGAATAAGAATTTAAAATTTCATTCTCTTTCTAAAGATATGCTGATAGTTATAAAGAGTAAAATAATCAAGTATTAAAATGCTCAGAGAACACCCCAAAATATTTTCATTAAAAAGATTAATGTTTGTACTGCATTTATCTGGGAAAAAAAAAGTTAAATTGACCAGTGTGGCACTTGTTTTATAAGAGGGATGAGTGTCTGCTGAACAGCCTGTTAAGAGAGAGAGACACAATGCAGGCTCAGAGGCTCAATGCTTAGAAACTGCTCTATATCATTCAGGAATCATGAAACAGGCATTTGTGGCTTAGAGCCCTGGAGTTTTAGGAAATTCTAACTTGAGTGCCAGAGGAGCACTGGTTATCTGTGATCTCTGAGGTGTCTCAGTAGGTGCTCCACGATCTAGAAAGGTAATTGTGACTTGAATCCTAGTTCTTGTGGAGATTATCTCTACAAAATTACCTGGGAAAAGTCATATGGTTCCAGAGAGGAGGGAAATTGTCAGGTCTTGCCGATCCTTCTTCTGTAATATTATATATATCCTATTTGTTTTGTTTATCTCTGGAGAACCCTAATTTACAGAAATTGTGTGTGTGTGTGTGTGTGTGTGTGTGTGTGCACGCATGCAGATGATAGAATGATAGATAGATAGATAGATAGATAGATAGATAGATAGATAGATAGATACATAGAGATTTATTATAAGGAATTGGCTCATGCCATGTCATTATGGAGGCTGAGAACTTTCAAGATCTGCAGTAAGCCAGCTGGAGACCCCAGGAACCAATAGTATAGTTCTCATTCAAGTCCAAGTCCAAATCCAAAGGCCTGAGTACTAGAGGAGTCAGTGCTGTAAGTTCCAGTCTGAAGGCTGCATGCCGGAGACCCAAGAAGAGCACGTGTTTTCATTTGAGTCCAAAGGCAGGAAAAGACCGCTGTCCCAGTTCCGCAGGCAGGAGTTCCCTCTTACTTGGGGGAGGTCAGCCCTTTTGTTCTGTTCGGGCTGTTAACTGGTTGGATGAGGGCCACCCATGTTAGGGAGGGAATCTGCTTTATTCAGTCTATTGACTCAAATGTTAGTATCATCTAGAAACACCCTCACAGATACACCCAGAATAATGTGTGACCACATATCTGGGTACCCTAAGGTCCAGTCAAGTTGACACAAAAAATTTAACCATCACAATCTGATTCTATTAACTTTTCCTCATGTGGCCTAAAATACATTGACATTATCTATAATATCCATTCTTCAGGCAGGATTTAAAAGAATCAAAAGCAGGATTTCCTGTGGAATCGTTAATAGTTTAGACCTAGATGAAATCTTAGAAATGTTTAGTCCAACTCTTTTGTTTTGTCTTCACAAAGATAACTGTCCAGGGATCCCAGAGACGAGAGGCTAAGCTAGTCCCTGTCCTGCTCTAGGCGAGGGCTCCTCCCACAGCTCATGGCACTTCTCCACGGTCAGGAAGGTGTCGTTTGAGGAGATGCTCATCTTCTCTCACACCCACTCCTGCTCTTCCCTCTTCTCTTCTGCTCTCTGATTCTCCCCCCTCCTTCTATTTATCTTGCTCCTTCTCTCCCATTTCTCCACCCCTTCTCATTTTTCTTCTGTTTCTTTCTTCACCTCTTCCTCCTTTTCTTCTTTATCTTTCTTCTCTTCCTTCTCTGTCTCTTTTTTTTTTCATGCGTGGAAAACTTAAGAATTGGAATAAATACAAAAGAAAGCAGACTTCCTTAACTTAAGCTTATACATCTCCAGCCTGAAGGTAAAGGCTGTGCTCATCATCTCCTGTGATGATGGCTTCTGTTTTGAGTCAAGATCTTGGAGAAGTAACCAACCTATTGGTGTCCCTGAGGATTTGGGACTACCTTTGTGGGGCCCCGTTGGTTGAGACTTGGCATCTCACAGGAAAGATTGTTTGGAACATTTGCTCAGTCCAATTAACAGTCAGCTAGTACGTACTATATGTTGGTTACTATATTAAGCACTTTAGCTCAGTTAGCAGGAGAGAGGTCTGGGAAGTTTCATCACAAAATGTTGTCAACTTTTAGTCACTTTTTCATGAAGTAGATTAGAATTATAAACCAGAAACCAAGGGAGAAATAAATGAGTGACTGCAGAAGAGTGTAACGAATGCCATGATGGGGGAAGTATATGCTGTTATGAGGGCTTGTGGGAGGGACATCTGTTCTGACCTAGGAAGTCTTCTGGGGGAAGTGATTTCAGCACTGAATTTTGAAATGAGTAGGAGTCAGTGAGCTGTAAAGGGTTAGTGGTTGGGTGAAGGCTTGAGGAACAACCAGTACAATGGCCTGGAGGAAAGAGGACACAGTCAGGACCAGGAGGTGAGTTGGTATGGCTGGAATGGAGGGGACACATTCACCTCCAGGGCGAGACTGGAGAGTGATGCAGGAACCAGATGTGAAGGGCTCTGTGAGCCCAAGAAAGGAATTGAAAGCTCTTTCTTAGCATAATGGGGAATCATCCACTATTTATCAGAAGAATGAAAAGATCAGACATGTATCTTAGAAAGATTCTTCTGGTTGCAGTACAATGAGTGACTAGGCAGTCCAGGCCAAAAGTGGGTGCAGAAGTATCTGTTAGGGGTCTCTGTAATAACTAGGGTAAGATATATTGGCGGCCTGGGGGTGGAGGTCAGCGGAAGGATGGGAGGAGTAATGGGCTTGATAACTGAATGGACGTGTGGGCGGATGAGCGAGAGGAGTCAGATCAGTTGTACCCACCAGGCTCCACAGAGCAAACTTGCCTCTGATAGAGCCATTCACAGAAGCAGGGGATGCTGGACCAGGGGATATAGAGAGGGTTAGAAAAAAAAAGTGAGCTTAGTTTTGCACCTTTTGAGTTTGAAATGCTTGTGGATCACCCAAGTGAGGCTGTCCAGCAAAAATCAGGCAAGCAAAAATGTCGGTTTATATATAGAAACTTAATAACTGGTTATTTTATTAAGACTCTGGATAAGGAGATAAAATCCCCTGGACAAGGTCATGTGCTATCGATACTACGCCCTGGGGGTTTCTCAGCACCAAAGCAGTCCCTCAGGCCCGAAACTGAGCTCAGAGCGCCGAGCCCGGGGCCAAGGGAGAACCAGGCAACGTCTGAAGGAGTCCAGAGAGGAAACCAGAGACGCTCTTAAATCCCATCCTCATTATTAATCTATACGAAATTATTCTGAAAGTGCCAAGTTGCCCAAGCAGTAAATGAGCTAATTTTGAGATCAGCTCAAAGGACACTGCGGTTGAGAACATGGGCTTTTGAGCGGATAATTCTGGTTTAGATTTCCAGTTCCGTCGCTTACTCTGTGACCTTAGGGAGCTCAGTCTCTCTAAGCCTCAATTTCTTGATCTGAAAACGGGATAACACAACCAGTTAGGTAAAAAACAAAACAAAACAAAACGAAACAAGACAAAACAAAACAAAACAAAACAAAAAAACCTAGCTCATCAGACTGTTGTAAGGATTAAGTGAAATAATGTTTGTTAACGTTTTAGCAAGATGCAATTTCTGGCAAATAGTGTGGTAGTTACTGTAGCTGTTGCTGCCGTTATGAGAAATCCGGCAAAGAAATACCTTCCCCCATTTACTATGGTGAACAGGGGTTAAAACAAACAAAAAAAGGGCACACAGCCACAGCCACGCAGAGAGCATGTGTCTAGATACTTATTTGTAATAACATAAGACTGTTATTTCTTGCTTTAGAACCATAGCCATGTTGTTCTATGGAAATGTGGAAGAGAGAAGCACATCCTGTTGCTGAGTGACATGCTCATGTCATTCCTGGGGAAGCAGGTGGCCAATCAGTAATAGACAGGTAATTGCCTTAGAAATGGATTTAGTTAAAGATTGGAAATGATGATAGCATGTATTGTTCTGACGATCGTGGTTTTAGGGTGGTTCATGGCCAATTATAATTTTAAAAAATAATATTGAAAAGAGCATCTTATTTCTACTAAGAGGAAGCCACTACTTGCTCTATTATTGAACCAAGCTCTGGAAGAAAATAGAACCACTCATCATACTGGACAAATGCTTTGTTCTAGGCTACTTTTTCTTCTAGGGGAGTTCAACATTGGAAAAGTCCAATTATCCATCCATTCATTCAACCAACACTTATTGAACACCCACTATTATTCTTTTGTGTTCCTCCCTTTTTCCCTACTCTGTACTTTCTTTCTCCACTTTGCTCCCATATACTCCAAATGACCACAGAAATTTAGAAATGGACAACTTTTATGCACTTGCTAATGGCGAAGTAAATTAGAACAACCTTTTAAGAAAGCAGTGTGCCCCTGTAAGTTAGCACAAAAATAGTATGCCCTTTGATCCGGCAATCTCACCTCCTTGGAAATTTATTGAAGAAAAT